CAGGCACAAACTCTTTATGCAATGTCTGTGTTCTTAATCCCACAGGGGGTGATCCAAGAAATTCAAAGCCTAACTGCAGGATTTTGGTGGGGGTAGGAAGCATGAAGATAAGAGAATTCATTGGATGAGCTGGGAAAAACTGTTCATACCTAAAGTTGAGGGTGGAATGGGGACGACATGTATGGAATCTACACAAAAATCCTACCTCCCTAGTAGCTAGAGTCATGAAGGCTAAGTATCATCCCCACTATTCCATTCTAGAAGCACCAGAAGTGCCAAATTCGAGCTATATATGGAGGTCTCTTCTAGTAGCACAAGATCTAGTGAATGAGGGGGGTAAGGTGGAGGATTGGAGATGGAAAATAGGTCAAAATTTGGTGGGATAAATGGATCCCAGAGGCAAAAGGATTTAAAGTATCATCCCCAGTTGCTGGACTAAGGTGGAAGCTTTGATTGATAGGGAAACTGGAAGCTGGAAGAGTAACCTGCTGCAAAGCTGCTTCCAACTAGAAGATAAGAAGAGTATTCAGCGGATACCAATCCCACTCCATCCCAGGCTAGATATACAGATTTGGGGCATGGAAAAATCAGGAAAGTTATCAGTGAGATATACCTACTTCCTCGGTATGGAAAGGAAACGAGGATCAGAGGGGGAAAGTTATATACCCATTAATTGGAAACAACTATGACATTTAAACTTACCACCTAAAGTGCGGGTGTTTCTATGGAGATGGGGAAGTAATATAATACCTACTGGTGCAAATCTAATGAGACGGATTAAGGATGCATATGATAGCTGCCCATTCTGTGGTCTTACTGAAACCTAAGAACATATTACACGAGACTACGACTGGGTAGGTAGGGTCTGGAGGCCTAGCTCTATCAGCAAAATATTCAATATTCAGTTGGGGTATGGATAGATCTTGCGAGGAGTGGATATGTGAAGTACTGGAAAAGGCAAATGAAGAAGAACTATGTGGCTTTATTATGGCACTCTGGTTTCTATGGAAGGAGGAATAACCATGTCTTCAACAATCACAAGCTTGAAGAATGGGAAATCTTTGCTAAATCACAGAATTTCCTAGAGGAATTTTGGGTAGTGCGAGCGAAAGAACTACGATTCAAGGGCAAAAGCCGATATACAGATGGGAAAAGACAGAGGCAGGCACTTACAGGGTTAATGTCGATGCTGCTACTTTTGCTGAAGGAGGAACCGGTTATGGAATGATCATCAGGTACGGCGACGGAACCTTCCACATGGCGGCGGTCTCCCGAACGCGAACTTCCTGCACACCAGAAATTGCATAGGCTTAGGCTATGTTATGGGCGATGCGTCTCGCTCTTGGCCATGGCTTCAGTCCGATCCTACTAGAATCTGATTGCAAAACCCTAATTGACAAGTTACTGAGAAATGAAGAATCGGATATGGAGATTGATACTGTATGTAGAGAGATCAGGTTGCAGGTGGAGGAAAGAGGACGAGTGATGTGGCAATTCTGGGGGAGACAAGGTAATGAATGTGCCCACCAAATGGCCCGAGTACTGTGCCGTATGGAGGAAACGGAGGTGTGGCTTGGAAGACCCCATGTTTTTCTTTTGTCTCAGTTAAAATTGGATTGTAAGGACACCATTCCCCCCCCCCCCCGGCAAAGTCAGCGTTGAAAAGGTAGTCAAAAGGAGAAAGAAAGAAAAGCGCGGGAGTCGACCAATAGTCGAATCCCGATGAGAGGGCCTTTTGTGCCACATGATGTTCAGCCCTATTTAGTCGATGAAAAACAAAGCAGTAAGAAATCAAGCTGAAGTGAGAAGCTAAGCTCCGAGCATCCTCCAGTAGAGCTCCACCCCGATCATGCGCCAAATCGCCTCCCACCATCCCGCCGTATCAATTATTGTGAATCCCCATGAAATTTGACAGAGACAAAGGAATGTGTCAGGCACCACTATATGGCCTCCAGTATAACAAATGAATATTGTAATCCTTCATAACACTTTCCGAAAGCAAAGAGAATATTACCTGACGATTGAAAACCCACAAAGCCAATACTACATTCGTGACTATGCTTGACCGCACCATCAAACTAAACATTAATAGTGTTCAAGGGGTTCCTTCAACATCAGGGGCGTCATTTCCAAGTGCTCCATCAAATCTCATCGAAAGGCCACCTAGTGAACAAGACAGCCGCCACTGATCGACTACTGTGCAATTGAATCTTCACCTGCAAAATGAGCAAACAAAGGCCCCCTACTAGGACAATCCAGGCCAAAGAGCCAACAAGTCAACATAGACACAAGGCAGCAATTCGCCCTTCAAATAGAGAACCAGATCATCGGGAAACCCTAGATAACCGGCACCACCCGTTACAAACCTAAACCTTTTTTTTTTTAATAAAAGGAAACAACCTAAATTTCGGGGACCTAATAATTTGCAAGTATATAAAAATAAAAAGAAGGCAATAGATTCGTACGAGAAATATGAAAAATTGTGGAAAGAATAATTAAAAACAAATAAAATAAGAAGGATAATTATTAAGGGAAATAAATAATAATAATAATAATAATAAAGAAATAAATAAATGATAAGGGAGTACTTATCTGAACCGTCGACCAAGAAGCGTAACTGCCACCTCGTTCGTGATTGTAACCGACGCATTCACAAGAGACCGTCAGTCTCCCCGCCACGAACCAGATTTTACCGGACGGCAGAGTGATCATCGTCAGTGGCCGGAGGCAGTACAATTACGAATTCTACCCTAGCGATTCGAAGCTCTTCTGGCTCGATTTCTTAAGGGAAACGAGATATGGCCGCAACGAGAACAATCTTTACCCGTTCGTCCACCTCCTCCCCAATGGGAATCTGTTCATCTTCTCCAACACCAGGTCAATTCTGTTTGACTATGACAGAAACAGAGAACTTACAGAGTTTCCAGAGATTTCCGGAGGCGATCCTCCGAACTACCCGAGCTCCGGATCCTCCGTCCTCCTCCCGCTGGTGCAGAACGCGACGGCGCTCCGCAAGGAGCGGTTCGATCGGCTCAGGCGATGAAATTCGCGAGAGCAATTTCTCCGCGCAGTTCAGTTTTCCTCTTATAGAAATCCCCATAGAGGAAAAAAAGTATTTTGAAGTAAGGACACCATTTCAGTTTAATTGAAGTTCCAAATGAGTTATAAAAAAAAAATCGCTTACTAATTTACTCTCATATAACATATTTTTTGACCGACCATTGAAACAAAACGATTTTACAAAAGTTGATTTTCAAAACTAAAAACTACTTTATTTTCTACGTAGTTATGTCTAATACAACGAGTTGGTCTTCTGGGCCGGCCCTAAGGGTGTGCCAGCCGGCCCTCCGGCACAGGGCCGCCAGACCTCCATTATGTATATGACTAATTACTATTACATATTATTAGATTTCGATTATAAATTTTAAAATGATAGAAAGTGTATGAATTGGATTTTGATTATGGGTCTAAAACAATAATAAAACATTTAAGTCCGAAGGTTAAAGGAACAAACGAATCACATGAGGTGAGCACTTATTTTCTTATTAAAAAAAATTCAAACCATATAACATAACTTATTCTTTTTCATGTGTTTCCGAAATAGAAAAAATAGGTAATTGATGATGCCTCATTATTATTATTATAAAATTTGTTGTTTTAACGTTCTTCATTGCCGGTTTTCCAAGGGGGAAAAGAATTCAATTTTGGCAATTAATCAGTTGCTTGTACTACCAAGACAGTAATGCTAAATTAATCAAATAATTCACATTGATTTATTAAACGTTAACCAAAATAGTCAGGTACAATCCACCGATAGTATAGAGGAAAAAATAACTAAATCAACAATAAATAGTTTGACATTATGTGATATGACTAATTCATACAAGTATTTTTTTTTTTTTTGAAATTTTATCCTTTTTGAAAATTTTCGATTGTTTTTCTAATGCAAGCATATTTTATAGAATCTTATTAACTATTTATGTGACTGTTGCTACAGACCTACAACTTGTAGAAGCTTTTCGAACTTGAAGTTGTTGAAGTCTTATATTAAATTTTAGGGCCATATTTCCAATTTTCGAGAAAAAGATTTAAGTCACATTTTAAATTTTCGAACAGGTCTTCCGAATATCGTGGACCCGCACTTGCTTCCTAGTATGGCGATTATGTAAGGGACGTTGCTTGCTAGTCAACTTATGAGCACATAAAATATACACCAGGAGCCCACTTCCGTCAGTTCAAACTACATGTACGTAGAAGGGTGGATTGAAGCGGCCTCAAGCCAGAACACTAGTACTCCTCGAGTTCGTGCAGGGCAAGGCCACGGCCGCCAGTCCCATGAGTTGCGTTAGCCCACAAGCGGGTTCCTGGTTCGATTTGATGGCCCCCTTCGCCGGGATGTGGGAGGGAGTAATGGATCTGTAGGGTTCACAGGTGACTCATCTTTAGCCTTCGCGTTCAGTAAGTTTTACGAAGGTATGTTCGATCAGATCCATTTCTTAATGGAGTTCATGGCCTTAAAGAGATGCAATGTTTTGGTGTTTAAATCATGGTTTCTCTAATATCTATACTTGTGGAGAGATTCACAACTAGTTGTTCACATGGCATCGGTGGATGATATGTTCACCAAGATGGTGGGAGTGGTCCTAGAAGAAGTTATTCGATTTTGTTTATACTCTGCTTCATACTAACACGGTTACTTATTTTCCGGCAAAAACGGTTTTTTCATCGGTAGCTCGACGACTACTGCATTTTACTTTTGAGTTTTGAACAACTAGTATAATCTCCTGTGTATTTTGATGACTAGACGTAGCAACTAAACTTACAAACATTTGGCTCTAAAATTAAAGGAAGCGAACATACAAAGCACGGACAAAGTCTCCAAACCAGAAGAACAGCACAAAGAACACGAGAGGGAGATAATAATATATATGTGTTGTTATTCGCCTCGATCGGCTCCATTCCAAAAGCCATTTTATTCTTATATAATTACATCCTCATGATCATAACGCACGGACCTGCTCCGGCAAGACCACATCATGCCCTGCCGACTGCGCCACCACACGAGCTGGCGGAGCCGGCGGGGGCGGCGAGTGATGATCATGAGGCGGAATGTTTGGCGTCGTCGGTGTTGGAGTACTGGAACCCCCATCCCCACCGTCCTCTCCATCATCATCACCGTCGTCGTCGTCGGCTCGATCGCAGTAGCCTTCGAGCACGTCGCTCTCCTCGTCGGTGAAGCCCAGGGTGTCCATCAAGTTGGGCCAGCAGTGGTGGGCTATGACGCGGATGGCCCGGCAGCACCCTTGGCCCAAGTAAGTCTCGCCGTTGAGGAAGAAGAGAATGATCTCCCCCGAGCACGCTTGCAGCTCCATCAGCGACTCCCAGCAGTTGCCCGTCGTCGTCTCTTCTCCTCCTCTTCCCCCCGCCGTGTCCAGCTTCAGCCGCCACGCCAGCGGGGTGGATGGTGACGTGGAAGACGAGGAGTCGGGGAGGTTGGAGAGGTCACGCGCCGCCGCCGTGGTGGGCCTTGCGGACGGATGGAGGGCCAGGAGGAGGAGGAGGAGGAGGAGGAATGGAGTTACGAGCTTCATGTGAGCAGCAGTCATATTTGTTTTTCTTTGCGAGTGGGGATACGAGGATGATGAATGATGATCATTTGGTAGCTAGGCTTTTATATAGAGGGAATTATGGGGCAGCTGATGGTTTTTTAAACGTTAGAATTGATCGAGAATGATGAAAAGTCTGTAACTAGCTAGCTAGATAGGAAGCTGTAAGGGCATACCGGATTAGTTAAAGTGTGAGGTTCTTAAATGTTTTTTTTGGGGTAATGTATAGTCATTACTAGCTATTTGATTACGGATTTGAGTGATATTAATACCATGGTTAATTATTGAGTAGTATCAGGTGGGTTGGAAAGCAAACTAATTAAATTAATTAATCATAAGTGGAAGCCGGAAGGTTAATTATCTAAGATAAGTTATTTTGAATAAATTTATCTAAAATAAGTTTTATTGAATCACTTTAGATAAAAATTTAAAGGAATGAGAAAAATCTATTTTTGTTAAGAACATATATATAAATAAATATGTTTGTTAGCATAACAAAAAAATACTACGGAGCAGGATACAATGCGGTTTTGATTAATCTAACCATATAATCGATTAAACGAAAGTGAATAAGGATGACTGCACACGAATTGTGGTTAACCATTGATCACAAACTGCGATAGTAACTAAACAAAATGACATATGCTTAGACGGTGCAATTAATTTCGCATAAGGAAATAGAGAGAAAAAATCAAATAAGTCTCCCATATATAATCTGTAAAATCCAACAGCCCGCAGCCCCGCACTTGTGAAACTCGCACCAAAACAAGAAGAATGCATCTCAGAAAATTCTACAATAGAGCGTACATATTACAACCCCAAATATACCATCCAAATTAAGTAAAAGCAACAACAATAACACAATCCACAAGGCACAAAGCATAATGCATAATCAAACATAGTCATTGTCTAATGTCTCGTCTTAATATAATTTGAAGTTCAAAACATATTCCACTCAACATGTTTTCCATTCCTCAAACAGTCTTCTCTCCACTGTTCTATAGTTCTATTTCATTTGTGTTAGACTGTTAGTTAATCGACGCAATTTGTGATTAAATCGCAAACAACAAAATGATACAGTCTACGAACCGTGACTAAATAAGATCCACTTAAATAGTAAGTAGTTAATCGCTAATGACACTTATTTGAACAAGTTCACGAGTCGACTTTGTTACTAATGCACGGAATCATACCCTATTTAACTCGGTAGACTTACAAGTTGGATTGATTCATGGTTGTGCTCATTTATGCTTGGTGCTTATAAAAAGAAATACATGCTACTTGTATTTGGTACATGTTGGCTGTTGGTCTCCACTTGAGTGCTTATTTACGGTGGCGATGTAGAAATTGGAACTAAGTGTGTTATTTTTCGAGAATATAAATAAAAATATTTTATATATCTAATTTAAAATAATAATAATTAAATAATTAATTTATAGAAACCAAAAAATAGGGTTTACATTTTTAAGTAAATCTCTTTCAATGTATTTAGTTAAGCAATCATTAGCGACGCGCGGTCGGAGAGTTATAAGCAGGGTTGAAGGAGGGAAGGAAAATCACGTAATAGCGTTTTTGCGGTGGATTAAGGGCTAGGGAGAGCCACAAAGCTAAATTGTGTCGTTGCGGACTATTGTTTCATAATTGTAACACCCCACCCATAATCTTTATGGTTGAACCCGTGGTTCAACCGTACAGCCAAATCATCGGTGTTACTGGTTGAACTCGATCATCTCAAACATCATATCCGATAATTAAACACAAACATAAACCGTTATCATACAAACTCATTATTCAAATCCCAACCCATTTATTGAATTTTACAAAATGTGGGTTTATTATTCAAACACTCAAAGCAAAAATCCTAGGTGACCATGACAGAACAGTGTTCCAAACTACCTCATGATGGTAGTACAGAAGGATAGGACATCCTCAGTAGTCTGATCCTAGTTGCACCCGCGAGCCTGAAAACAGACGTGGGTCAGCAACTAAGCTGTGTGTGTGGATCTTTCCCACGACCTAATTTTGGGACCGCAATAAGCAAATCAAACAATTGTAATCAATCATAATTTAGTACTCTAGATGCCATCTTAAATCATCATATATAAATTAGCGATCAAATTATAGAATCCCCCAACTCATCATCACCAAATCAATTTATCCAATAAGATAATCACATAATTTCACGAACACATAATCAATGCATGATATGAAAATTCCCATTAATTATCAATGGCGCCAAGGTCACCATACACTTACCCCCGCTCGAGCAAATCATCATCCGTGGTGCTCATGCAACCACCATACGCGCAAATGCGAGCTAGATCTACCCAAACCCATAATCATCTGGGGGTAAAAGTGCAGGCCCTTTCTATGTCTATGTGAATTAATATGATCACGAATCAAACAATTCCATTTCTCTCATCCATCACAAACGATCCGGAATCAATGCAGTCCCACTGATTAACCGGTTCATGCATAATCGATCCAGAATCAATGCAGTCCCACTGATTAACTGGTCCATGCATATCTCACGTCAAACATTTCATCAAACCAATTCAGGAACCAATGCATTCCCATTGAGTTCCCAATCCAAATGGATCTCATGTTTCTCATCTCATCAAATCATCATCATCTCAACCAATCCAGGAATCAATGTCATCCCACTGATTCCCAATCCATACTTATCTCATGTCGGTTTTCAACTCGACATTCTCGAAATCCAATCCATCATCCAATCTCGAATCACATAAATCATCATCATCCTTCAGTAACAATACTCAACAGTTCTAGATCATAATTCCTCATCCAAAATTCATCACACAACTTCACATAATAACCTCGGTTCAAAATAATCATAAATAACCGGTTTGCGGTGAAAATACTTTTAATTCATTTTCCTTCGTTAAAATCCTCATAAAATCCATATAAATTATTTTATTGACACCAAAAACCATTTAATCCAGTTCTGATCATAAACCATTTAGAGAATAAAATCTCAAAATTTTCGTATTAACCATTATTTTACGATAATTAAAATTCTAACAAAACGGTAACTCCGAAAATCTCCAAAAACTACAAGAACCTCCATTTACCATCCTAAAACATGTCTGTCCAGTTTTTATATTTTTCAATAGCTCAAAACCATTAAAATAATATTACACGCGGTATTTATCGCAAATCTCGTATTAAGCTCATTTTTACCGTTTTAAAGATAAAAACTCCCCCAAATGTCTAATTTACCCTTTCCAGACCACAACCCATTTAACAATCCATACTGGCCATTTTAAAGTGATCCAAATCTTAAAGATAAATAAAACACGTTTTTACCGAGCTTTTCGTAAAATTCACCGTTATGCAGTTTTTAATCCGCAAACCATTTTTAAGTGAAACCTTCTGCTCAATCTGCCTCAACATCATTTTAGACAAACAAAAATATCTTAGATTAGTTTTAAACTCAATAAACCCAACTATTCATTTTTACGGTGAAACTTGTCAAATACCGATATTTACACCGTAAAATCCATAACAATCAAGAATAATCACCAAATCATCATATCAACAAATAATTTATCACCCATAGTAATCCATCCATCCAAATATGTAAATCAAGCATAATTAATCAATGCAATAATTAAGGTCCTCTTAATCCCCACACACCTTAATTTAGCTGATTCCAAGTCGGGAATTAAGTTCTAAAATTCCAGAGATTGGATCCTAAAAATTATCCTCGTTTCTACGGTCCTGTAGGCGAAAACGATTCGTCGTTTGGATGTCAAACGAAGAAACTGCGAGCTGATCATCGTTAGTAGGAAATTAGAGATTAATTCTTAATTTTCTGCTGTCCAAAATCTGTAGAAAACTGGAAATTCCCTTACCTCACGTACCAACTTCCCGGCCTTGTTTCTCCCTCGTCTAAGCTCGAAATTCAATTTCGTAAACTCTATGATGCTCGTGGTGACTTGTTCTTAGTAACCGTATCAAGCTTTGAAGCTAATGCTGCCTGTAGTGGCACTGGTTTGGCTGACGAAAAGGTTACGACAATTGTTTCGGTGAAGGATATTTAGTGAGTTGGCTTGATGATTTTGGCTCATAAACAGGTTTGTATAGGTTCTAAACCTTTGCTGGGAATACAGAGACTATGCTAGGCTTTGGTTTCATATTATTTCTTTTCTCTTCTTGGTGTTTGTACGAAGGCAAAAGTGGAGAGCTAGCTTACCGGTATTATAGAGCTCTTTGATTCATGCTCTTACCTCTTCATTTACTTTCCAGCAGATGGAGTAAATGCCTGGGACGGCCTTCTAAGGAGCAGTAGCTTTGAAAGGAAGAAACTCAAGTTCCAAAGCCGGCTCCATAAACAAGCTAGCTGCTGGTGCAATGCCTACGTCATTAGCTCATTAATGACTCGGCTCCTTTGTATCACTGAAACCAGCATCGTCTAATTGGTCAGGTTGCTGAACCTTCCTTTGTGACCAATAGGTCAAAGGTTCGATTCCTACCACTAACAATTTATTTTTGTTGCACTTTTTGACATTTGGGGAGTTTTCAAGTGGTTTCGTTGATCCTACCTCGTATAGGATAACTTCTCGATTTTTTTTCCAGTCTCGAATCGTACTATATGCGTCCGCTACTTGAAAAAAAAATTATCCGAAGTTCGGGATGTTACAATTATTGTCGGGGAAAAAACGAGTAAGTGAGAAAAAGAGAGGGATATTAGAGATTTGATGCTATTGAGGATTTAGGTTATGAGCTTATGATGTTATAAATAACTTTTATAACAATAGAATTACAAGGAATGAGTTGTAACGCAACGACATAATGATTTTGTATTAACTCAAATGTGTTGAATTTGATTCCCTATTTATCCATTCTTGTAGTTGATTATTTTTATCTTAATTTAGGTGCCTTAGATCTGCCTATGCTTATGTACCTATTCAAATTGCTTCCTTTCTCGGTCTATGATCCGACTCCTTTGTTTCTTCTTCTTT